AAATGGACAACCTGACACAATTGCCTTTAGAAACAAATAAATGTTTTCGACCCTAAATTGGAATTAAATTTTAGAATATTTCACCAGAACATTGCAGGCGCTATAAATAAAACTGAGGAACTAACATTTGCAATCCGAGAGTTGTCACAAAAAGGTTCAAAGATAGATATGGTGTGTTTGACAGAAACTTTCCTTAAAAAAAGGTACAGAAATGCTTTTTAAAATACCTGGTTACAAACTAGTTGCATCGTATTCACGGGACAGTAAACGAAAAGGGGTATGTATAATGTTAAATAACAATTTGAAATATAAAAACGTGACTAATATTAATGATTTGACATGTAAATTTAATTTTGAATGTTGTGGCGTAGAAGTAAATAAGATTACGATTATCTGTTTATATAGAACTCCTAATAGCAATCCACAAATATTTCTTGAAAAGCTAAAACAGTTACTAGCAAGACTTACTAAAAAGCATAAAAAAATTATTCTTTGCGGTGACTGGAACTTGGACATCTTAAAACCAAATAAGAGTTGTGAGGAGTTACAAAGTATATTAAAATTTTTTAACATTGAGTTGCACATTAAAACACCACTAAGACAATTGTCATGTCTAGATCAATTAGCAAGCAACATCAAGCAAGTTAAAGCCGAGGTACATCACTTGGCCTTACCTGATCACGAAACGGGACAAACACTTTCGCTCAAAACGACTAAATCGTATGAAATATGCAGTTGGAATGATGTCAGAGATTATAGTAAAGAAAACATGGACAAGTTCTGTAGCTGCAAATCGTCTCTTACTTTCTCAACTGTATATGAAAAAAATAACTTACAAGAGGCGTTTGTTGAATTTCATGATTTATTTAAACTATTTTTTGATCTTTGCTTCCCAATACATACAATAAAAAGGGCAACTAAAAAAGGGAACCATAAATGATGGACGAAGAGCATTAGAAAATCCTGTATAATGAAAATATATCTCTCCCTTAGTCAACAATATAATAAAACAAACGGAAAAATACTCAATAAAATTATAAATCATATAGTTCCATACTTAAAAATTGTATATATAAATCGAGACAGATACAAAGTAAGAAATATATTGACAATAATAAAAATAAATGTAAAGCCACATGGGCGGTTATTATAGTTTTTGACAGAATAATAAAAAATAATCGGATATATGACGACTCAAAGAAAATATAATCACTTTTATATAAACTTGACAAATAAAATAATTTAAATATAATGTTGACGAAATAAACAAAACTGTCATGACTAATAATATACATACAATATTCCTTAAACCTACTGATGCTATGGAAATATTTCGGATAATTAAAAGTCTTAATAATAAGAATGCAGTAGGATTTGATAACATAACAACAACTGCAATTAAATTATCCGCACCTTACATATGTCAACCGCTATGTTACTAAATTAATATGTCTTTTTAAGAAGGTACCTTTCCAAATATATTGAAAAAATCAATCGTTAAGCCACTTTTTAAGAAAGGCGAAAAATACGAAATGAATAATTATAGGCCAGTGACGCGAATACCCATATTGTCAAAAATATTCGAGAAGATTATGCTGAGAAGGCTTCAAGAATTTACGATAAGTCATCGTTTACTTAAAGAGCAGCAATTTGGATTTAAACAGAATAGTACAACCTCGTTAGCATGTTTTAATTTGATTAAAATAGTCACCCAGGCTATAAATGATGGCCTTCCAGTTGCGACAATCTTCCTGGACATGAGCAAGGCGTTTGATTTCGTGGACCATAAATTGCTCTTACACAAATTAGAAAAATAATATTAGGGATACGAGGTAAAGATAACGACTGGTTGAGAAACTATTTATGTGAGAGACAACAATGTGTGGAAATATCTAAAGTCAATAAAGACAAAAAAGTGTTATACAGAAGCGACAATCAGATAAATGACTTTGGCGTGCCACAAGGCAGTGTATTGGGACCATTCTTATTCCTCATGTATATTAATGATCTCCCTAATATCACTCGCCATAACACAATCTTGTTTGCTGATGACACAACCCTTATCGTGAAATGCGAAAATGCAGATACATACGAAATAGAGATAAATAAAGAAATCAAAAACATAATAGACTGGCTTTATTGTAATAATTTACAAATTATTGAAAAAAAAAACTAAAAAGGATCCAATTTCAGACATATCAGAGAAAACTATTGAATATTAATATTAAATATAATGATAAGATCATCGAACAAGTAGCAAGCACTAAATTTCTGGGTATAATGTTGGATCAAAATTGTGACTGGAAAACACATGTCGATTACGTTTGTGACAAACTCGACAGATTTTTCTATGCAATAAAAAGATTACGATTCACGGTATCAACTGACGGCCCTTGTTTAAAAAGTACGAGTACTTGACATTAACATGCTTGTACATAAAAGAAATATGCATATTTGTAAAACAACATCCTGAACACTTTGAAAGGCATATAGATGTAACTGAACGAAATGTAGCTCCTAGAAATAAACATAAATTATACTTACCTCAATGCAGGCTCAAATTTTATGAAAGGAACTCTTACGTAAATGCTATAAAGGTGTATAACAAAATACTCAACGACTTTAAAGAGTTACCTTTAACCATTTTTTTAAAAAAAGTTGATACAATGGTTAAAAGAAAAATGTTTTTACGACCTAAATGAATTTATGTCTTTTTGTGGAAAATAAATCCGAAGTCAGTAATATTGATATATATCTAATAATTAATTAATTACAAAAAAAAACTGTATGGACATTAACAATTAAGAACAATCATTACACAATGTGACATTTTAATTGAATTCCCACTTGTTTTTAAATTTTTTTTGCATGTATACTTAACTGTTCAACTTAACTTGTTTTTAATTTTTTTTTGCCATTTTATTAAATATTTGCACACCATGTAAAGTGGTAGAATGTAAATGGGACATTATACATAATTTAAGATCATACTTTATTGTACACATACATTCTGGCAAATAAATGAATTTGAATTTAAGACTAATATTTATATTATTAGTTTATTATAATAATTAGTTTTTAAAGTTTGCGAAACTAATATTTGAAATGAAATACAATAATCATTATCACTTGATTTAGAAAACAATTTACTTAATCGTTCGAATAATGATAAGTCTAGTCCTATTTTTTTTTAAATATTTTAGGCATGTAAAGTAATAACAATAAATAACTTAACAAATTTTTTTTTCCTCTGTATTTAGGTTTTTTTTTCATGAGTATATCTCATATTTGGCATAGTACAAATAATATAGTAAAAATTAAAGAGATCAAAGATGACCACTTGACATTTCTATTTCACGTGAATTACACGCAACATCTTTCAATAGATTTGTCTCTTTTTGCCTTATTTGAAAATTAAATAAGAAAAAGCGAGACAAGTATACTGACTCAATTTATGTAGAATTGTAGGTTCTCTCTATGCATACGTGTGTATGTAATTACTATAAGAAAAATTACGATACAAAGATTAAAAAGGAACATGGGATATTGTATCATCAGTAAATAACATGAATTAATTTTGTTACAATTAAATTATTATATAAACGCATTTTTAAGGTTTTATTTTATAGTTAGTCAGTTTAGTTATGTTAACAAGATTAGGCCAAGGTTAGATTCAGACTAAAGAGATTTAAATATAACTATTTAAAAGTCTTTGATTCAGACTTTCAAAAATATTGTACATGGAAAATAAAATTATATTATTTGTCAAAAATTATATCACGTCTGATGTTCCAAGTTTCTTTTTTCCCAAGTGTCGGGCTTTTGGCGTCACACGTCTAGTTTATGTTTAGGTTTCGTCTTTTGACACCAAATCAAACTCAGCTATCAATTAGCAGTAGGAGTCTAAAAGCATCGTATATTATGTTAAGGAACCTTATGTATTGTTTGAACAAATCTTAACAAAGCGATATAAATAATTAAAGCTTTCATCATCTAGTGAAATTAAAATAAACTAAATATTATAAAAAAAAGTAATTGACAGATTTCATACACGTAGTCCTTCCAGATCAAGCTGATCCATTCGTGCTACCATCATAATATAGCTGTAACGGGACTATCACGTGTAATTACAGAAATCTCTATTCTACTCTAGTTTTTGCTCTAGTACTAAACTACAACAGAAGCCAATTATCATAACGTGAACTATAAGTTCGTTAATCACTTCAGTTTCATAAAAAAACCTGCCAGCACCAGTGAAAATACTAATTGCTGTTTTAAGTGATTATTATTAAATATTTCTAGGCCTCGTGATTTCCAGTGATAGCGTGAGAGCCGTGGTAGCTCAGATGGTTAACGCTCGCTGTAAATATAACAGAACTCGAGTAACCCGGGTTCGATCCCCGCCGGCACCAATGAAATTGTTAATTGCAATTTTAAGTGCTGATTTACCTCGTGCTCTAAAAATGAGTGGAGGCCTGTGCCCAGCAAGTGGGACGTATATAGGCAGTAACTTTACTTTTTTCGTGATCTCCGTCAATACGAATTTAGGCAGCACGAAGGACTATTTCCTATTTCAAAACTATTTTAAAAATGTGAGCCTGACCTCATTCAGTCAAAGTTTTATTAGATTTAGAAAATAGCAGATAAAAATTATAATTGTAACATTATTCCAGTCGATTTCGACAGTAACTCTATCCTACTAAAGAAAACTATTCGGGTGGCATCTATATAACTAGTACCAGCTTGCCGCTAGTTTCAGACAACGCCTCGATTGAATGGATTAGTCATGCCGGAAGCTAAGAGATAAGGCTAAAGATACATTTTTGCTATAAGTAAAGTTACAGCACAGATACGTCCCATTGGAGGGCACAGGCTTTCTGACATTTCTGAAAGGCATGAGTTGAAATGATAAATTATAACGAAAATGAATGTGAGTAACGAGACGCATTACGTAGACAATTTTTAATTTTTTGACCACATGTTCATTCATTTGTCAACAGATCCTGGTAAACGTGTGTTTGCTGACATCAGCTGATCGGGGAAGCTTATTTTTAGCCAAAGGAATTCCGCCTCATCGCTATCTTCAAGCGAAACTTTTCGATGTCACGAGGGATACAGGTATGTAGTTAATAAATTTTTTTGCTTTTAATAAACATACTTCCACTCTTAATTTATCTGTCTTGCTAAGATAGTCAAAATTGATCATGTGGACATAAAAAATGAGTCGTTAATTAGCTACTATGATAGTGATGATGTCTCTAATAATTTACTATGTGTTAACAACGACTAGTGATAACTACTACGCCACTACACATAGCCGTGTAGTGGCGGTAAAGCATATCCACTGCCCCATACCCATATCTACTACCGCTATTCCTGGCTACTCACCGGGGGGGGGGTGCTAAGAATCTCCGGTGTAGGTTCGGTTGCCACCTAAAACGACTCGATCTGGCAACATACAACGCATGCACCCTGAGAACTGATGAGATCCTGGAGCTAGAAGAACAGATAGACAAGTTGCGCTGGAATATTATAGGATTATCCGAGATCCGAAGAGAGGGTGAGGACACGATTCTCGAAACCGGCAATTTGTTCTATCACGGAGGGCGACCATCTATCCCATGGAGGTGTTGGATTTATCGTCCACACGTCTCTTGTTAATAACTTTGTGAAGATTGGTATTGTGTCGACGAGGGTAGCGTACCTTATACTCGGAATCAATAAATGTCTCAGTGATTGCAAGGGTGAAAACTGGCAGTGATCACCGAATGGTTAGAGGCACACTGAACCTAAACGTAAGTTAAGTTGTAAGTAAGTTAAGTTGAAGAGGTCTCGTTTAATGAAATCACCGCTCCGTCCCCCTCGTCCTCTAATCCAAAGTCCCAAAACCTTTAGCTCAAGTTAGAAAACAATTTTTAGTGCCTAGGAGATTTTAATGCAGTTGACGATATGATCGACAAGCTCGTGGAAACTGTCCATGTGGTCAGAGCTAAGTTCTGCAAGACCCGCCGCAGAAGAACGCAAAAACTCTCCGATCATACTCTTAGTCTCATGGCTGTTAGACGGGAAATGAAGATGAAGTCTTCAACAGATTTGACAACATAGAGACAACTGAACAGACAGATCTCCAAATACATTCGGCGGGACAGTAAAGTAAAGTAAAGTAAAATTACAGCCTATATACGTTGCTACTGCTGCTGGGCACAGACCTCTCCTCATTTCTGAGAGGGTTTTTTGACAAGGAAGTGTCCGCCGCGCTGCCCCAGTGCGTGTTGGCGAACTTGTCTTATGCGATCTTCATGCGGCGGGACTTACGCAACTTTAATACTGCTTATATTACAGAAGCGATCGAGCGGATCTCCATCTCCATCTCGGACTCCAAAGTCTTTCTTTCTTTCTTCTCAGAGATTTGTCCGCCAGAAAGAACAATGTCAAAGCTGAAGACTGAGTGTGATTGCATCTTTTCTGGGACACCTGAGAATTTGAGTTCGACTGAGAGGTTCTATGGGCAGCTGTACACATAATCGTTGGAGCCACACGAAAGTATGAGTAACGATCCAAAAACAATTCTTATCCTACACTATTCCGATGATGTTCCGAACTTTAAAAACAGCAAGGTCCCAGGCGAGGATGGAATTAAAGCGGAGCTTCTGAAAGTGCCTGGCACGTGTCAGTACGGACTCGTACGCACGAGCCACAGCACGCACACGACACTTGCTGAGTCGGAAAGATTGGGCCGAGTCAGCGACGCTCACCGCCGCGCTCTGCATTTATCTTTGCTTGACACTTTGTTGACTTAATAAAATTTTGCTAGCTGTCTTTTTTACGATTGCTATCCGAGTACAGAACCATAGTACGAAACCTCTGCTAACTAACTCTTAACCGCTGCATTTGAAGAGGTTTTCAAGCTACTGGACTGGGAAGGACACAGTATTAACATTAATGGCGAGTACATAACTCACCTTTGATTTGTCGACGATATAGTCCTTATGGCGGAATCGCTGTAGGACCTAAGCACTATGCTCAATGACCTCAATAGTGTCTCCCAACGGATAGGTCGTGAGATGAACATGGATAAAACAAAGATCGACTAACCGATACCGATAAATTTAGGAATGAGGATATCCGCAGTAGAACCAGAGTGACCAACATAACCTACGGATTAGTAAGCTGAAGTGGCAATGGGCCGACCAATAGCTCGAAGAACCGACAACCGATGGAAAAAAAGGTTCTCGAGTGGCAGCCTCGTACCGGAAGTCGTAGTGTTGGGCGATCTACCAATAGATAGAGTAACGACCGGGTAAGACGTGCAGGAATTCGATGGAAGCAGGTGGCTCAGGACCGTGCTTTGTGACATTCCTTAGGGGAGGCCTACGTCATCAGTGGACTTGTGAAGGGCTGTAATGGCGATAATGATCATGGCTGATAAGTGTTTGGCAGTTTTCACTTAGTTAAAAATGCATTTACAAATGTCATTCAATTTATGCGAAGGACAGAATTCAGAGGAAATCTTAAGAAAGTCAAATTTTACAATGTTAAAAATTGTAACGTAATCATAATATGGTCTGCATTTCGTTCATTCTCAATCACTCCATTAAATTTGAATAAAATTTCAACGATTCTATTCAAAGCGTTGACTAATTTACGAGCGTATTCAAAGGATATATTCAGAAGCGTTGAATACAATGCGTCATGAGTGGATGAAATCCACAGGTATTGGGACCACACACAGAATGAATAATGACAATATTATGTTCTATGAAATCAGAACATCCATTAACCCTTTCCCCATCCCGTGCATTATATTTGTACATTTCTATTGTTTAACTATGGTGTCATTTTGCTGACAGGAAACTATTAAAATTACTACTAATATGGGTATGACGTAATTAATATATTACTAAAATTGAGTTATTTTATTTCCTATCCTGAAATATTTTACTCGGACTCCGAAAGTAGTCATTCGCGGTAATTTATATATTATAAGAATATAATGTTAGTTATTTGTTATCAAATTTAGATAATGAAAGTTCTATTACAATACCTATAGTAAAATAACAAGGAAAAGAGACCTTACAACTTTTTAATATAGTACTAGCGGTACGCCCCGGCATTTTGTGGGTAATTTCTGGATCTCAACAACAACGCCATCTACCAGGTCCAATTGTTAATTGTTCCGATCATCCAGGGACCCACGCAAACATACACAAAAAATTATCAAAATCGGTCCAGCCGTTTTCGAGTTTTAACGAGACTAAAGAACAGTGATTAATTTCTAAACACAAAGATAAGCTCCCCCCCGAACGGGTTCCCACCTTGTCGTGGCGGGGGGGGGGCTTAGTAGCCGTGGCTTGGTCTCCCACGGTGAACAAAGAGGAACCCACGTGGCTGGCCCGAGGTGAAGGGCCGGCCTGAGGTGGCCGCTCCGAGTGGGCTTGGGGAGCCCACTTAGGATGTCTGCTGGTGGACTGCAGCGAGTGGGGACTCGCGCACCCTCTACCGCGGCAGCCGAGGTGGAGTCGCGGAGGAAGAGGAGTGTTGGTATGGCGATGCGCCACTCGCCCTATCCTTCGCGACTCAAACGGGGCCGCACCGTTGATGCGGTGGTGGTGGGGCTGCGGGGGGAGAGGATTGTCGGTATTACGAGGCGCCGCTCTCCCTACCCTCCACAGCCGAATCTTGGTTGGCGGCGGAGCCATAGACCAGATCCGCCGCTGGGGTCGGGAAGGCCAGTACTTCTAAGTGCTCGTTTTTCCTGGCCCCATGGCCTTTGTGCATCGGACGCGGGGGCGTCTGTTGCACAGACGTAGTTGGAGGCCGTGGAGGAAGGCGCGCCATGTGTTCTGGTGCGCCTTACCTGGGAAGGAGAATGGGGAGGCATTTTCCTCTCCCGAGGAGGTGCTGCCATGGGGCGGCAGGCGCTAGTAGGGCCGCGGATGTGTGCGAAAGCGTTCCCGTAGCCCTGCCAATATGCGACAAAGGTGGAACACCATGGGGTTTTAGTCGGTGCGAGTCCGACATAACCCGTCCTTGCCCCCCGCGAGGCGGGTAAAAAAAAAAAGATAAGCTAGGACTTTACTTCTAACTCGCCAGATATTTACGGATTTTTTCGCGTTTAATCACAACTTAAATTTATTTTTATTATCTCGACGTTTCGAGTGCTTTACAGCACCCATGGGGGGGGGGATTGAGATGTTTGACGTCCCAATGTCATAGTTAGCGTATTGGTGTCTACTGTTTGGTTAACCTAGTTCCCCCTTTTAAAAAATTAAAGGAGTAATTAAACGCGATAAAATCCGTAAATAATAGTTTTATTTAATATATAGTGTTCGCGTAAATTTAAGAAATCATTATATCACCAGATGATACTCGAAAGTCAAATCAAAGATGATTAATCATTGGCACTGTTTAGGCCTTATCGGGACTTTAGAAATAAAATGAGTGAACTGTATTAACAATAGGTTTAATGCCGTAAAACCTAGTCTCTCCTAAACAAACGTATTATAAATTGAAGAAAAAAGTGCCTTTTGCTACCGCGTCTCGCCGCTGATTAAGTACAGAAGCGCCCGCGCCGCCGTGAGGTCTGCGACCGGTCCGCGCCCCCACGCGTCCATCATTTTGGCCGAGGCGCGATGACGTGTGCCGACGTATTCCCCGGGTTGAAGAGACGTCTTCAATCTTCAATTGGTAGAGGGCAGATGTAGTTGACAGCACGACGAATGATCTCTCGCGTGACTCCGTCTACGCCGGGATAGGTCGTCATGACCCGGCCCAGGGACCAGAGCAGCGGTGGTGTTGTTTTGTCCTTGATAATAACTAAAGACCCCGGCTTCACTTCATCTCTGGAATGAAACCACTTGGATTTGGACTGCAGTAGAGAGATGTATTCATTATGAAAGTGGCTCCAGAAATGCTGTCTGATGTACTGTGTTCTCCTCCAGCGATCCAGTCGCGTGATGTTGGCATCAGTCACCTGGGAATGTGGTACAGATAAGAGTGGTCGTCCAATCAGGAAATGAGCGGGAGTAAGTGCCGAAAAATCGTTAGGGTTTGAAGAGAGAGGAGTAAGAGGAGAAGCGCGAATTTAAGACCGCCTCTATGTGCGTAAGGCAAGTAGC